AGCGGAATACCGGGCCGGGCCTCGGTGCCGCCGCGGGGTGGGGCCTCTGCGGCCCAGCTCCGCCCTCTGCCTCGCGTTCCCCCCTCCAGCCGGGGCTGGGTTCCCGCCCCACTCCCCCCTCCCCCAGCCTCCACCACGTTCCCACTCCACGTCCCCAGCGCCTCCGCCCCTCCTCCCCAGCCGGGGCTCCCCGGCCCCGGGTTCCCCCTCCCTCCAGCATCCAGAGCTCTGGGTGCGGAGCGGTGGGGTAGGGGTTAAGCCTGGTGGTGGGGTCCCCCTTGGCCTCCGCGATAGATTGGGCCTTGGCCTGTAGGAAAGATGCCCTAGGGTTGGTGTTGTTCCCGTCCGCGCGGGGGTGGATAAGACCCCCGGGTAGCAGGGGGTGTATGGGGAACTCTCGGTGGGGAACACAACACAAGTGCCTCCCTCTTGCCGGACCCTTTTTTCCTCCAGGCCCCGGGACTCCAGTTAAGACTAATCGCCAATTAAGGCGAAGTCCTGAAGCCTGGGCTGGCCTGGGGCCAGGGGTGGGGCGCGGTGACACTCTGCCTGCGGGGGCTCGGGACTGGACTGGCTGAAGTGGGGGGACACCTAGAAGGCCAGGAGAAGCGTGGAGGTCTCTGCGGCTAAATGGATCTCATGCAAATTAGATGCGAATCTCTATGCTAATAAGAGCAGAATATTTTTGAATCCGCCACTTTGCGCAGGATGGCAAACGGTGCCCCACCCCACCTCCAGCTTCTTACCGGGCTGCTGCGGAGCCCAGGCGAGGCCCTCGCGTTCGCGCTCCCCTCTCTGATCCCCCTCGGTACAGTCAGACTCTGGCTCAGTACACTCCGACTCTAGGGGGCTTCTCTTTGGGGGCTGCGGGGACAAAACGACCATAAGGAACTTAGCTTCCTAGGCAGCCTGGACTTCTCCTATCCCCTTCTCCCTCCTGTCAAAACCCACAGATATAAAGGGGTCGCCCAGAACTGGCTATGGCCCTAATAATAGAACTTATAGATTTCTGCTACTGCCCTGCAGAACTCTTGTCTGTGGGTAAATGGAGTTATGGGATGCAGCCCTCTCGAAGGCCCCAAAAGACCCACGACCCCACCGCAGAAGCCCTTTCTTACCCCCTCTTGCCCGGGTAGGGCGCATGCGCGCAGCATGCCCCCCATAACCCCCAGTATCCGGTCAGTGCGGCCAGGGGTGGGGCGGTCCGGGGGCTTCATGCTGGACCCCTACCCTGCTTCAAGTTTCAGAGCCGAGGGGGCACCGAAGCTGGGGGGCTCCGAGGCCTGCCTGCGTGCGTCCGGGGAGTTGCTGCTGCCGAACCCACCCCCTGCCCGGCTCCGCCCCTACTCCCACCCCAGCCAAACTCCGCAGAAGGGGTAGGGTTGTTCCCTTCTCTACAACCGTAGTTCAACAACAAACAAACCCCTCTTAATCCTGATTCCAGCATCGAAGCGTGTCCCAGGACTTCAGAGTGTTATTACAGTGTACTAAGTACATCCCCATTCCCCAGGTCCTCAGGAGGCACGGGGGCTGCGGAGGCACTTGGAGGTTTCCCTGTCACCCCACCTCTCTTTCCCCTTCTCTCCAGGTCCTGCTTCTCCCCTCCCCCCCAACACCTCCCCTCCCTGTGTTCACAGAACAGGACGGGTGTGGCATAGAGTTGCATATTTTACTTTATTTTTATTAAATTAAAAGCTACAGTCTGGAGGCGATTCCAGAACAGGGTAAGGAGGCTCTTTATAGGGGACAGAAGAGCGGGAGAAAGACAAAGACTGACAGAGACAGAGACGCAGGAGAGAGAGGAGAAGGTTAAGGTAGGAGAATTGTATCGAATGAACATACAAAGCCAGCTCCTTGGAGGTGGGGTGGGCTGAGATCTGCCCAAATGCTCCTTCCCCCACCCTGAAATTCAGCAGTGGAACAGTATGTGGCAGCAAAGGGCTCAAGAGACCCCCTCCTCCCACCCAGGTCCTTTCCCAGCTTAGTTACTGGAGCACAGCACATACCAGAAAACGCCAAGGGCACTGGTGGGAGCCGGGGACACAGGAGTATGTACAAGGGGAGGGGAGCAGGGAGCAGACCCTTGGAGATCAGCCTCTGCCAGAAGGGAGCGGCCCTCCGGGCACTGAAGCACTTGGCCAGCAGGGCCAGGTGGAGACAGAAGAAGGGACTGCTGCTTTCCCTGTGAACTCCCTCTCCAGTCTGACAGGTCCCCTTCGTGTGTGGTATGGGGGGAAAGGGGAAGAGAGGGGAACAGAGGCTTCCATTGGGTCCTAGTAGAGAAGAAGGCAGGGGCCTTGGCAAAGGGCCATCCTTCAGTCATCTGTGATACCCTTGGCTCTTAGTTCCTCTTGCACCCGGGTCAGGTAGGTGGGGTCCGGGTACCCAAACCTGGGTGCAAAGAGAAATGAGGGTCAGGGTTAATCAGGGGCAGCCTGTTTGAGCTTTCTTATAGTACCCCTATGTCACTTTCATTCTGATGACAGCAGAGCTCCATGCAGACCCCTTCCCACCTCCCCTAAGGGGGGACCCCCCCACACCCAAGAAAACTTAGCCCAATTCTGCCTATTTTTGAAGGTTAAGCTGGGGACATCAGGACCAGGTTGAATGGAAGAGACACTGGGATGGAAGAGATGTGGAGCCGTTTGGGGGTGGTCTCCAGTTAGGAGGCTCCCAGAGTGAGGTGGTAGGTGTTGTTCCCGCAGTGGTAAGGGAGAGAAAAGGAGGAGGCAGGGAGGGAAAATGAAAGGTATCGCACAGCTGAGGTCCCCCTGTGCAGCTGGTCTTGTGGTGGATGTCGTTCCAGGTGATGACGTTCGGTCTCCCCGTGGTCATGGATGTGCCGATAGTGAAGGTGAGACGCTGGTCAAACGCCTTGCGGAACAGGGTCAGCACCTTGTTGCCCTCGGGGCAGTCTGGGAGGTAGGCCACCCGGGTGGTGCCAGGATACCGGACTCCTGGGTTTGGGTGTTCAGCCTGGGGGGAAGGGGAAGCAGAGTGGGCAGGGAGCAGCTAGACCGCCCAAGGGCCAGACAATGGAAGTCATTCTGGCCAGCCTTCTGTCTGGCCACCCCAAGCTAATGCTGACAGGGCAGTAACAGGCTGACAGCCTTCCAGGTAAAGAGAGAGACTCTTGGGCCTGGGCAGCAAGCGCCTGTTTCCAGATAGAATCCTTATTGTTAAGAGGTTCCTTCTGCTGTCTCAATCTCTCAAGTCTCCATTCAGCAACAAATGGATTCTCAGAAGTAATGGAAGGTGGTTGGTCCTTATTCTCTAGATAACTCAGCAGAAATGTGAAGACTGAGAATAATCTATCTTTCAGCCTTTCCCTTCTCTTACTTGAAAACTTTACTCCTAATGGTCTGCCACTATCTACCCAATTCTGCTTTTCTATTACCCTCCTTCAGAGGTTCCTTGTCGCTCTGCACACCAGAGCTGGCCATCACTCTCCGTCCCGCAGGAAGAAACCTGGAGGCCCTTGGCCACTCCTGCTTGTACCTTCCACTGTCACCAAGGTTCTACTCAGAAATCCAGATCACAGCAACACTCCTAGCTGTTAGGATGGTCAGATACCCTCCTGTTTTGTCTGCTTACACACTAAGCCGCCACTTCCACAGAATTTACCTCCACCAAGATTATTCGGCAGGGTCCACTCTCATGAAATAATGTGCAATTCTTTTCTCTCAGACTTGATTTTCATATGGGCCTGGGGGTCGTGGGGATGGAAAGACTAGCCTCAAGGGGGCCTCCTGAGCTCCAGAGCACTGAGTAGGAAGGCATCCTGGGAGACAGCACGACTGCATCCCATCTAACAGGCACACCCTCACCCAGTTTTCCTGGTTGGGAGAACAAGCTTGGGGAAAACCAATGCGTGAGGGCAGGTGATGGTCTCCTTACCCCTTGGACACCGGGCGGGAAGACGTACTGGATGACAATGGTGCCATACTTCTCATAGCTGGGCAGCAGGAGGGTGGCGTCCTTAGAGACCAGCATCCGCCCATTCTGGGGCTGGTTGCCCACCAGCTGCCCATAGAAGCGGCCGCACATGGGGCAGGCCTTTTTCACTTGCAGGGCCCGGGTGATGCAGCCCTCACAGAATGAATGCCGGCACTTCTCCAATGTCTTGGCATTCTGGATCTCCCCCAGGCAGATGGGGCAGGTGCTCTCCTGCTCTTCAGCCTCCTCCCGAAGGCGGGGAGGAAGCGGAGGGGGCAGGGGAGGGGGAGGAGGGGGGAGCCCCCGTGCCCCTGGGGGCAGGAGCGGGGCTGCTCGGAGAGGGGGTGGGCCTGGGCGATGCAGCTCAGGGTGCTCTCCCCCACCCCCCAAAGCCAGGCACCCCATAAGCTCCCCCTGCCTCTGAGCTTTCTTCAGCTCTTTCTCTGCTTCTTTCAGCAGCCCCTTGAGAGCCTTCCGGGCCAGGTAGAGCCCGTTGGGAGGGGCCGGGGGAGGGCCCTGTGGGGAAAGCTGGAGAACATAGATGTCAGAAGTCTCGCCATCTATGAGGATGGACACGCGGTGCTCCTCCCGAAGCCGGGCCAGCCGGGCTGGGGTCTCCTTGCTCAGGAAGTCCCACACTGGCTTGGAGACAGTCACTTTGTTCTTGCAGGTGCCTCCACAGGCTGCCATTCTGGACAGGACGAACGACACTGCCCCCAGGGTGAAAGGGACTCAGGGTGGGGGGTCCCCATTCGACAAATATCAATGCCTCCTACTTCGGGTTCCTTTCAAACCCCACAACCCCTCCCCATGTTCACTCTTTACCTCCCCTTATCTTCCCAACCCCAGCATCCTCTGAAGAGCAAGAAAGTTTCCATAACTGTCTCACCTAAGCCAAGCATCTACCAGAGCTCTCCTCGATTCCCCCATATCCGCCCCCCCCCCCCC